AAATAAAAAGGCACACTCTTCGGCCAAGATTAGGATAGAAAAGAAATAATAAGGCTCTCAAGGAATGCAATGTAACAGAAACAAAAAGAAATGGGGAGCCAGATCTGCTAAAGAATCTATCAGATTTGATGAATATATGGGTTAGGCATTTTAGAAAAAAGGAAATTATCAAACATAAATTTTAAGGACTGGTCTTCCCGCTCTAAAATTCCAGATGTTTTGTTTTTTTCCTCCTCATAATAAAATAAATTCTAAATCCAAACAAATTGTAAAAATCTATTTAATGGACATGGAAAACCAAACACAAAAATAATATATTGGTATGGGAGAATAACTTCTCTTTCAGATATAAATGATTTTGTTACTGTTTTTCTTCAAGGAGTGGGAGAATAGGTGTCTCCTTTATCTTCTGCTTTCCAAATTGGCAATAAAACATATGAATTATTCTTTTTTAAGAAATGTTTTAATTTTTTTATTTAAAAAAATTATTCTTATAATGAGAAAAAAGCCATAATTTTAATAGTTGTACTCTATCTAAATGATGTTCCTACTTTGAATTACCCCATTAATATGCAAAAACACATTTCCTAGATGGCTGATGAAGGGTGGCCCTTCTTGTGGCCATGAAGCAGAAAGGCATAACTGAACACTGTGGGGAACAGAAGGATTTCTCTTAAGTTGTCTCCCCAAAATATGTACCAAACTTAGCTGCTTTAGCGTGACTGTTCTTTAGGCAGCGAAAGTAAGTCAGAGGTTATTCTCCTTAACATCAGCCATCTGTAGTGGCTAGACTATTAGTCTGACTCACCCTAAATAAAGCCCATTCCTTTCTGTTATTGTTCCCTCGAAGCAGTGCCCATGGGCAAGCCCGGGACCACTCTAAGATGACTAAGCTTAGGCTACTATCTTGCCACACATGCCCCCCTATTCCCTCCTCTTACTATTGCGCGTTCACCCCTAGGTCATCCCCCTCCTATTGCTTGTATTGCCTATGTTAATAGCCCTCCTGGTGACTCAGGTTATTGTCCACTATCAGGGAACTTGCATGTCTCCCAGGATAGTAATTGCCCGCTTTATTGTATGAGACACCAGAATGATCAAACTTGTTC